GTGGGTGTGAAAACCAGAGTTTCAGTGGTAGTGAAGGTGTTGTAGTGGGAGACGTAGGTACTTTCTGTAATGGTCGAAGTCTCGTAGACCGTGACAGTGTTGTAGGTGGTCTTGTTGTGGGTCTTCGTAGAATACAGAGTCCAGGTGGTCACCGTAGGGGACCAGGTGGTAGTTTCCGTCACGGAGGTGTGGTATAGAAGGACGCTCTCCGTTTTAGTTTTCTCGACCACCGACACGTCCGTGACAGTTGACGTGCTTTCTACGTACTCCGTATAAGCATCGAACTCTGTATTGGTGAAGATGCCATCGAATCTGTCCATGACGTACACTATGTTAGTCGTCGTAGTGTAGACGAACTCGACACTGGTCACGTAGACTGACTCCGCAGGGCCTTCCACGGTGATGAACTCGTTACGAGTGGCTGGGAAATACTGGGTCGTCGTGACAGTCTCCACCTTGATATTAGGAGCAGGTATATTCTGAGTGGTAGTAGCTATCTTAAGAGCGCTGAGAGTTTCCGTAACGTAAGTCACTAAAGGAGAGACAGGGCACACTAGAGGGGTAGTTTCATAGTAACCAGCAGATGCCAAATGGAAGACCAACAGGAGAGCCAAGAGTGCCATGTTCAGAGATGGAATTGAAGATCTGAAAGATTAAAAATTTATTCAGTATTTAGTTATATCATTAACTCTTGCTAATAAACATTTCTCAGCCTCATCCCATAGGTCTTCTCCAGGAGAATTATTAATTATAATCAGGGGGGAGAGCTAAAACCGTAGGATTATACAGCACATGTGGGGGGAGGGGGATGGAAGGTATTCAGGATCAGTTCAGGGAACCGGAGCAGATTCAATTCTCTAGATCAAGAGCCCCTCACCAGCATCAAGGTACGTCCCTCGAAAGGTTCTCAGGGAGAAGACCACACATTAATTTGGGTAAAAACTTTGGAACGTTTTGCAAATATCCTATAACAATTTAACTAAAACTTAGTTCGTACTTTAGGCCATAGTGAGGTCCGAGAATACTCGGAATATTTCTTACATTTCACACTGACAGGTATCATTTCATGAATAAAGTCATATCAGGAGAAAGCGCTAAGCCTGTAGGGTCCACACAATTAGACCCTAGTTGAAAAAACGCTGCAGTTAGCTTCCTCACACCGAATCCAGTTTCGAAATGTTTGCGTTAAAAAGCTAAATCGCTTATTGCACTTTAATTACCACTTAATTTGCTTTACATTTCTATGGCCACTCACGTCCCACCCTTTAATGTTAAATCTTTTAAGTACTATTAACATAAGGAAGAGGCTATTACGTGTGCATAGCTAGGTACTTTTTGTAAACATACGTGTGTGTACAAGTCACAGAGGGCTAAACCAGGAAGGTATGTAGCCACCGATGCAAGATTTATTTCCTTCAAAGATTGGTAGTTATTTTAGTCAGAAAAGTTTGGATTGAAGAAAGACCTTCCTAGTATGGGCAGTAGGCCTGCTGCAGTGTTCCTCCTTAATGCTGGAGGAAATTTTAATTGACTGAGTAAAGAAAAAGATTTCTTGTGGGATTTATATGAACAAAATATAAGGGGCGCCGTACCCTTAAATTATTTAGGTTAGTTCCATGGAAGGGGAGCACAAAATAAACATTCCTTTGAGCCAGAGCTCCTCACTGGTATAAATGACTGGAGTGAGTTCCGGGGGTCAACGCCCGGAAAAACTTAGAAAAGAAGAAATTTACTATCCTTGACGTAAACTATACACAGTTTGAGAAAGGTTAGATTTATCCGGAACTGGACAAGCGTTTCTTGACGTGGGTCATAGGATGACCTACAGCTGGAGCTTTTGGTCATCTAACAGTCCTTCTACTGGCTTACCCCTCAACCCCTTAAAAGAATTATAGTCATGATTATACCCATTGATGCGAGGAAGAAATACCGACTTAACAGGTGACTCCCATGATCTTACAAACACCCCTAACACACTCCCTGCTGTACCTGCTAATACGACCAGCCGAGGCAACACCTCACGTTAGAGATTTATATATAGAGAGAAGAAAGTCACCAGTAACAGACTAGGGACTAACCTCCCTCTCTCCACAGCGTTCACAGACAGACTGACACCTCTGTTGCCTTCACCTTAAACAATGCTTCACCTGGTTTGACCCCTGTCGACGACACGCGGGTCATTAAGGCAGCACCTCGCTTGTACACTATCTTCAAATATATACATGCACTTTAATACGTAAAAAGTATATATACATTAATATAATAGTATATACACTTTTTATATACATTCTACACGTGCAATTTGAATGTTATTATTATTATTACTTTCGTTGTCCCTTGATAATGTAAGAAATCACGAAAGCGCATGGAATATTGCTTCATTTCGCTGGGGTTATCTGTAAACAAAAAAATTTTATTTGGAAAGGGGTTTTAATTAAGTTTTTTTTTGAATTTAAAAGTCAGTTTGCTTTACATTAAAAGGCTTAAATCCCTAACACAATTTTAATACAAGTTCGGTAATACCACCCTGCGGGTATATACGGTATATACCCTGCCCCTTTACTGGGTATCATTTCCCCCATTTAGGGGTTTTTTGTTTTCACATCATCTTGGAATTTTCACGTAAAAAGTTGTGTTTTCAGCAGAAGAGGGAGAGTGAGGGAACGTTTGTATTTATGTATACTTGTTGTACGTGTTAAATAAACAACCGGTTGTACAAAACACGGAAGATGGGGTTGTCCCGGAACACGGAAATCGGTTTTAAACAAAAACACGGATAAAACGTTTGACGGAAACACAGAAAAACCCATGTTGACGGAAACGGAAATACGTTTTACAGGAACAGGGAAAAAACGGTTTTTGAAAGGGGAACAGGGAAAATACGTGTTGTCAGGAACCAAAAAAACATGGTTTGAAAGGAAACACGGAAATAAACGTGTTGTACAGGAAAAAAGGAAATACGTGTTTACGGGAACAGGGAATATACGTGTTGTACAGGAACACGGAATATACGTGTTGTACAGGAACACGGAATATACGTGTTGTACAGGAACACGGAATATACGTGTTGTACAGGAACACGGAATATACGTGTTGTACAGGAACACGGAAAATTACGGTTTACGGAACACGGAATATACGTGTTTACGGGAACACGAAGATAGGAGAGGGCAAAACCCCTGACCGTGGGGTTCGAACCCCCCCTTAATGACTGGGCTCAACAAAATATACATCCCCGACTTTCTTTTAAATCTTGAAAAAAAAATTCCCCGACTTAAAACCCCAAAATAATTTGACAACTAAAACCATTGCAAAAAGTTGAACACTTCACAATATTTTGAATAATCAATCATTCCGCCTGACTACGGTGGAGTGCGGTTTGTGCCCACCCCCTCGCTGTCTTTCAGGCGAGCTACCACAGTAAAATCAACAACCTTTTGAGTAGTGTGGACGTGCGGCTTTTTTTGGGGAATCAAAATGGCGAACTACAGTACGGAGGTAAATCTATCGCATAAGCTGGTTCGGGGTACTTTTAAGGGGGAGAACGATGAACGTATTTCTCCCTAACTAAATCAGGGACACATAGGGTATCCCCAACAGAATTATATGGCGTCCTTAAGGGGTTTGTCAAGAATCTTGGAAATTTCTGAAGCCCTTCTACAAAAAAAAATTGTCGAGCAGTCCCCGGGAACAACCAAGTGTGAATTCAGCGATGGATTTTTGTGTTAATGTGTTTCCAAGTACACAAGGGTAAAGGTACGGAATGTACCCTTCGGGGCTACGGCGTATGGACAACGGGATTTTTGCAGTTAGGGGACAGTAAAACTGCAACCAGGGGGGTAGGAGGGTGGTCCGTATAAAGGGAACCGGAAGGTTTTTTCCCCCTTTAAAAAATTTTTTAAAAAGGGCCCTATACCATCCATGAAAACGATGACCTTTTGTAGAACACAGGTTTATGTGTACTATCGGGTCAGAAAAAAAACAGTCGTCTGTGCAGCTCTTATGAGACATGGCCCCCATGTCCTAGGGGGCAGGCTCCTCGAATTCGGGAAAAACGCCGATTGTGATTCAAACTTTTCCCCTGTGTTTTGGGTGCCGGCTCTGTCCCTCTGGAGGCCGGAGGCCTGATCCTGGAGCAAGGAGGTCACCGGGGGGTGGCGGAGGAGGAGACGTGTGTCACTATCCCGGGATCGGGGGAGTCGAAGGTGTTAGCTGGGGAGTTTTATCCAGGAAGTTTCGACTCAGGGGGTTTACTGGAATTTTCTCAAGGATTTTTGGGGGGGATGACCCCGGTGTAGAAGGTGTCCTCGTTAGTGAATTTGGGAGGCTGGAGGGACAACAAATTGGGGAGAAAGACTTGAGTAAAAAAGGGCTGGAGGTGTGGTGGCCGTGGAGGTACACCAGGGGGTTTCGTCGAGGGTAGATGTGTGTAAGGGGAAAGTTCAGAAAAAGAACTGCGGAAAATCAGAATAAACAGGTTTTTCCCCCCGGGGGCAGGGGCCCCGGGGAAAATCAGGGAAAGGGGTTGTGGACCCGATGCCACATAGTGCTAGAGGTGCGCCTGATTGCACAGGGGGAAAGGGGGAAGGGGGGGGTGACTGCACAGGATAACCAGTGGAAAGGGGAATACGCAATGAAAAGTGCAGCGAGTAATCCCAGCGGCAGGGGGGGAAAAGCCGCCACTTCATAATTTTCGAAGTTCCCTTAATGTCAAGGGACTTAAGACGAGTTAAAGAAAGTTTGGTTGGGGGTTTTTTTTACCGGGGGTTTGATGTAGAATTTGCTTTTTGCAAGAGCAAAATCTAGGGCGGGTTGTTGTTGGCGGTTAAAAGGAATGGGATGTATGTTACCAGTGGTTGAAAATTGAAAGGTGGGGGCAGTGGCGATAAAGGGAACCAGCCCCTTGCGTGTCATCGGGGGGAAAAGGGGGGGGGTGGGGGGGTCGGAGGGTGGTGGTGCCCCGGGGTGAGAGTCGAGCTAGTTTTTGTGGAGTTTACATGCCAGCAAAAGCAATACCAGGGTAAAAGTAGTTTTTGTCAGAGAGGATTGCTGACACTTGAGGGGTTTTGCCTGCTATAACAGAAAGGTGGTGATTGGAATTGTGTGATTTAGGAGTGGTGATGTCGAACCGAGAGGGGGGGTTTGGTGCTGAGTGTGGGGGGGGATGTTTTGCAAAAATTGGGGTTTTTGTTTGGGGTGGGGAGGGGGGGATACCTAGGGAGCCAAACTTCTCCGTAGGGATATAAACGCGATTGGACAGAATTTATATTAAACGGGTATAAATGTTGTGAGGGTGAAAACCCTTCGAGGGGGGTTTTTGGGATCACAGGGCGGTAATGCAGATTTGAGTGGGAGGAGTGGTGCGTATTTATTCTGGGACGGGAAATTAAATGAAGGCTTCTTAAGGAGGAGGTGGGGGGGCCTTTTTTCAGTGATTTGGTTCCCTTTTTTGGGGAGGCAGGGCAGGAGAAGATCTGTTAGTTTGGGGGAAATGCAGGCAAAACCGGGAAAAACAAAATTTTTTTAAGGTTGGGGGAGGGGAAAAGGGCAGGTGGCTTTTTGGGTTGCAAAATTTTTGGAGGGACAGTTCAAGATTGTTATGTTGGGGGAGGGGGGTATGGGGGTGACAGGAAGTCTGAGGAGTGGGATCCTGAAATACACAATGATAGGTTTATGCAATTAGGGTTAGGGGGGGTTAGGGGATGTATTGGGGGGTGAAACCTCGGGTTTTGTTTTACGTAAATTTAGGGCCGACAGAGGAAAACCCCCATTTCTACAATTGGAGACAAGCCCTGGGGGGGAGGGTACCCGTGGGTCGAGTCCTATCCAATACTGAAGTATAGTCTCTATCGATAGTTGGTTTAGGAAGAAATGGAGTTGGAGGAGGGGGGTTCCTGGGAGGGTATTTTTTAAAGGGGGGGGTTCCATACATTTTAAGGACGATGAGGGGGGTTGGGGGTGGTATAAGTGAGGTTGAGGGGAAAGGCGTTTTCGGGTGATACCGGGAAAAAACCAGGGATTAAAGGTATACCAAAAAGATTTTTATAGAGCACATTGGGGGTTTTATTTGGCAGGCTTTTTTAGGCTATTGGGTCATAGTTTAAATAGTGGGAATTTGGGGACATCGCAAAGTACGGGTGTAAAGTTTTGGTGGGCCAAAGAAGAGGGGGGGTAAAGTTGAGTGCTTTCCCCAGCAATATCTTTATGTGTAGATTACAGGTTTTTGCGAAAATTTTGGGGGAATAGACTGAAGAAGGTCATGGGTCGTGATACTGGGGGCAATTTGTATCCCGGGGAGGATATGCGGGTAGGTCTGGACGTATCGGGATTTCCTTGAGGGAAGTAAGGGGGGATTCAGGGCTGATTGGGAGAAAAAACTTATGAATTTTATAGGGGTTTTTGTTTGAGAGTAGGGGGAATGGGTTTTTGGGGGGAGGTGGTTTGGGTGGGTGAGGACATTGTATGAGAATGCACATAGAGTACAGGTAAATGGTAGTTTTTGGGGTTTTTATAACTGGGGGGGGGTTTAAGGGAGGGGTGCCACTCCCCAAAACTCTTTTCATGTATGCAGAATCCTTTCTATTTCTGGTTGATGGGGGATGGGAAGGTGGGGGGGAAAAGGTGGATTTTTTGGGAAATTTTTTTGGTTATGAATATCAAAATGTTTTAAATTAATGAGATAGAAGATTTAAGTAAAGTGGAAGGAATTGAGATTTTTGGGGAAAGCACTGGGATGAGAGTTAATAAGCAGAAAAACACGGTTGTTGAGGGAGGGAATTGGGTAGGAGGGACCTTGGGGGGGGTTTTTGGGTGATAAATGTAATAGCAAAATTTGGGGATTTTGTATTTGCAGATGTACGGGGAGTAGGAGGGTTTTAAATTTAGAAATGGTAATGGAAGAGCTTTGATAGGGTCAGGAGTTAAGGGCCGGGGGTGTAACCTTGCATCAAAGGGTTTTGGGGGTAAAAACGCTGATTTATAGTAAGTTTGGGG